TTTTCATTATTCTCCAACTCTCTGACGTTTCCCTAACTTCATCTACTGCATCGTCTTTATCATTCGTCTTCTTCATTTTCTTTCAGTTTTTATTCATCTTTAAATTTGTCTATGTCTTCTTATTCATTTTTTCTTACCTCTTCTTCTTTCTCTTCTATATCTTTCATTTTTTTTCTTCCTTCTCTCACTTTTTGCATTCTTCATCGTCTTCATATCCTACAACTTCATCTTCTTCTTTTTCTATCCACTTATATTTTATAGTCTTTATTTCTCTGACTTCTTATTCTTACATCTTTTATTTATGTTCTTTTACTTTATCTTATTCATATTTCAGTTTTTTTTTTCTTCTACTTCATCCCACTGTTTTCTTTTTCTTCTTTTTCTCTGACTTCTTACTCATATTCTTCTTCTTTTTCTTCATTGTTACTATATTATCCATCTTCTTATTTTTTCCAATTTTATTCATTTTCTTCTTTTTCTACCGACTTGTATATATATTTTATTATCTTTTTTCCAACTTCTTTTTTTTCAGTTTTTATTTACACTCTTATACTTTTTCTTATTCATACACTACAAAAAAAAGATTGATTACATCACTTAAATTGTATCACAAAACTAAATAATATAAATTTTAAATTATATATTAATAAATGATACAAAATATATGATTTAACATCATTTATTATAATTGATTATTTTATTGATTATTTAACTTCAGTTCAATAAAATTGATACAAATATATATTAGTTTACAACACTTATATAAAATTGATATAAAATTATGTATTTAAATCAGTTAAATAATCGACGTAATCAATATTTAAATGATATAAATTTTATATCAGTTAAAACTGATGTAACTAACTTTTTGTACTTTTTCCCACAGCGCTAGTTGATAAAAAATGAAAGAAAAATCATGTCTATATATATCAAAACTTAAGAACCTTAACATTTACTAACCAATAAAATTAATTTTGAATTTTTTGAAAGATCAAAAAATTATTGATTTATAAAATTTTGGATTAAAATAATAATATTATTATAAATATTTATAAAAATAATAGTAAAAATAAATTATTTTTAACATCTGAATATAATCATAATATTAAACTAAACTAATTTTAACATCATTTATTATAATCGTCACAAATACTAATATCATTAATAAAAATTGATGCAAATGATAACTTCATTTTTTTGTAATTGACACATATTGACATCTATTTCAACAATCGATGCAAAAAATAAAATATATTTGCATCAATTGATAGCTAACTGATGTTAATTATTTGCATCACCACATTCAGAGTCAATTTTACAAGTAATGTAAAACATATTTGTATCAATTATAACTAATACAAATATTTAAAATAAGTGATACAATATATCTGTTTTTTTAGTGATATTCAGTATTTTTTCTACTTAATCCTATTGTTTTCTTTTTCTTATTTTTCCCCGACTTTGTACACATATTTTTCTTCTTTTTCTTCATCGTTACCATATTATACATCTTCTTATCTTTTCAATTTTATTCATCTTCTTCATTTTTTTTGAACAGAATAAAATATCAATTAAAGCATCAATTATAGTGCTCTTCTAACAAGAACCGGTTAAAGTTTTCCCTAATATCAATTGTATCACTATCGGTTTGAAGTAAATTAGGGTTTGACACGAACCTACAAATATAGACGTCTTAGAATTAAAATTCTTCTTTATTGATGGAAGAGAGACTCCTAGAAAAAAAATAGTAAACACATCTTTACTGAAAAAGGAGGGAAAATGAGCAAGATGCTTTTGAAAGAATTATCAGTCATTGCTGGAAAGAGTTTTTAATTTTTTTGTTTTTTTCATCGATGTTTTCCAGAACAGAATAAAAAAAATATATATATCTATACTAAATGAAAGGAGGAATTTGGAGTTCCTAAAGCCATCAATCTCAGCTTTTTTAGAAGCTTTCTAAACTTGCCACATCAGCAGATCTATAATAAAAATAATTATTTAATATATTTATAACTTGCTTAAATTTAAATAGTATTTAATTAATAATAATAGTAATACTTGAATATTGATTAAATTGTATGTACTAATACAACAAAAAAATATAACTTGATTTTAACACAAAAAAAAATTTCATAACTTATATTAATAATAATCACACTTTTAAACTAAAAAATGATACGATATAATATTATGAAGTATAGAGTTCATCTACACAATAATTAAAAGCACCAAATACGTATGATTATGTACATGCTATTACCTTTGTTTTTGGCTAAATACTTTTACGCATATATTAAATTAATTATAATATAATATAAACCATCGTTATGGTCATATGAAAAATAGACTTGCATAATTTTTTATTTAACATTAATATATTACACTTTCATATCTAAAAATAGTATATATATTTTTATATAAAATAAAATGTCATGAAAACATCTCTAACCATCTACATCAGCAACAATAAAAAAATTTTCTTACAAATTCAGCATGTAAGAAAAACTAATATGGTTTTTCTGGTTATGAAATTCTTTTAAAAATAAAATAATATATATTATTAATTTAATTAGAAAAGTTTATCAAAATATATATGTAGTGTAAGAACAATATTTAAGTTAAATTGCAAATGCAAATGAGCTTTTTACACTTTTTGAATTTTCAGAAACTAGACATACTTTGTTCAATAGAATGAGTTAGTAAGAAGTTTTATTTGTATATGTATTACTTTCTTTATTCATCTACAATTCTATACTTAACTATGCTTCAAAGACCAAATAAAAATTATAGTTTATCAATATGATTGTGATTTTGTATACTATGTAAATATTATAAGTATAAATTAAATTAATTATAGTGCAGTATAAATCATCGTTATAGTCATGCATATAAAAAATAGATTTGCATAATTTTATATTAACCATTAATATATTACACATTCTTATTTAAAAATACAATATACATTTTTATGTAGGAGAAAATGTCATAAAAAATCTCTGACCATCCACATTAACAAAGAAGAATTTCTTACAAACTCAATATGTAAGAAAAACTAACATGGTTTGTTTTTTTCGTTAAGAAATTTTTTAAAAAATAATAAGATATATATTGTTAATTTAATTATAAAAGTTTATCAAAATATATATGTAGTGTAAAAAATATATAAATCAAAATTACAAACAAATGTAGATAAACCTTTTATACTTTTTGAGTTTTGAGACACTCGACATATTTTGTTCAATCGAATGAGTTAGTATGAAGTTGTATTTTTATATTTATTATTTGTTTTATTCATCTACACTTTTATAGTTTACATATGCTTTATGGATCAAATCAAAATTGCAGTTTATCAATGTGATTGTGATTTTCTATAATATATAAATGTTGCTTTTATTATATGAACAATAGTTTTTAAGGATTTGTAAAGTTTTGAATATTGATTGTTGTCTTGTATTTAAGACTGCTAAAAAAAAAGCTACACGGACACAATTGAAATAAAAATAAATCCAGGTGCTTCAGTTGTAGTCATATGTTTAATAAGTTTTTTTTAAATGAAAAAAATATTTGAAATTAAATAAAGAAAAATTTATAGTTGTTGAGTTCAATTATATATCAAATTTAGTTAAAACAAAAATAATTTAAATAATAGTTTAAAAGTTAGTGAAACAATGAGTTTATATATCAAAATTAATCAAAAAAATTTAAATAATATATTGAAATTTAGTGAACAACAATGAGTTTATATATAAATATTAATTTTTAAATTAACAATTTATTTATATATATATCAAGTTAGTTAATTCTTAAATTAAATTATAATACATTTTTAAGTACGTTAATTGTTTATATATATAACCACATCAAAACAATATTGAAAATCAAAAAATATATTTAAATATTAATTCAAAGTTAAAAAATAATTTAAATAATAATCTAATATTTATAAAAATAATCTGCACGTAGCGCGGAAATATCTCTAGTATATCTATTAAAGCGTTAATTTGTAGATAGCTGCTTTAACAAGAAGTCAAGAACTGGTTAAATTTATCTAAACATTAATGTTACCAAATTAAAATTCACGTAAAATAATAAATTTGTAATGATATGTTACTACTAGTCTAAAATAAATTAGAGGTTGACATATATCTATAAACAAAGTGTTTTTAGAAATTAGAACTAAAGAAGGATTCTAAGAAAAAAAAACCTAAAAAATTCAAAAATGAGTGAAGCTTTTTTACAGAATTATCATTTGATACGTAATAAAAAAAAATTAATTTACAATCTAAACAAATTTTTAAGCATCGTGTAAACTTGTTTTAATAAGAATTTATTAAAATTTTCCCAAACATTAATGTTACCCAACTAATGAAAAAAAAAATGTTGTTATACATTCAATTTTTAAGCCTTCTGCTAGCATTCATTGCGATTCCTTTAAAATGTTTTGTTCAAAATAGTGCATCATTAGTTTAATGAGAAAAACGATGTCATTTAAGTAATTTTCACTAATTTTTATTCAAACCAAATGCTCTGCATTGAATTTATTCATTATTCAAACCAAATAAACATATTACCATACGAAATTGCTCTATTATATTCAACTGATTTATTTTGATTGGTCGGCTCCTACATAAGTGATATCTGCTTCTTCCCTAAAAGGTACAAACAAAGCAGCAAAATAAAGAGAGAGAGTCCTTAGCAAAGAGAGAGATGGCGTATTGGTCAAGGTTACCGGCGGAGGTCCTCCTGATGATTGCTCTCCGTTTGTTCTCCTCGTTGATTTCCTCCATTTCCGTAGCATCTGCACATCTTGGCGCTCCTCCGTTTCCCTGGACGACAATCCTTTCCCGAGACGCCCTCTCATCGACCTCAACCCCCTCGTCATCACTATCCATGTCGGCCCTAATGAACCAAAGCAAATCTTCGGCCTCGACCGGAGCGCATTTCTATCACGCGCCACCTTCTTCCGCGTCTCCTCCTCTGCGACGAGTCGGGGGTGGCTGATGAAATGCGATAGTGATCTCCTCGGTTACAGGAGACTCCGTCTTCTCAACCCTCTCTCGCGCCTCCCGATGAGCCATCTTGGCTTAACCATCGATCTTCTTAATGTCTCCGATATTCAAGATGCCTATGTTGTTCAAATCCAACGCAAGAAGAAAAAAGAACAACTTTTTGGATTCAAAAGGTTGGTTGTTACGGCAAATGGTCGCCTTCTTGGAGTAGGATGCGACGGGAAGATAAGGTATTGGAACGGAGACGTCTGGACCAAAATGAAAGAGCAAGTAGCTCGATTCTGTGACATCATAGTTGAGAGAGAGAGAGGGCTAACGTACACCTTGGATTCGCATGGGAATGTCTGGTGGGTTAGTTCCTCTCTGGGCATCTTTAGGTATGGACCTTCACTGGATGAATATGCCACTAAGGAATCTTGTAGAGACTTGGTTTTGGTGGAGTGTGGTGGAGAGTTATACGTTGTAGATCGTGTCGTTGATGATAGCCTCTGGATCAGAAAAAGTGGTAATTGGTGTCGTTATCGTTTCACAATGATACACGACGATGATGGGGACGAGAGATGGGTAACACCGGAAATATCTCGCTTCTATCCCAAGACGGTGGGTTTTAAGGTTTACAAGGTTGATGAAGAAGTGGGGAAATGGGTACAAGTTATGTCCTTGGGAGATCATGCGTTTGTGATGGCTAGCGATGCTTGTTTCTCGGTCTTCGCTGATGAGTTTTATGGATGTTTGAAAAACGCCATTTACTTCTCCGACGAGGCAGAACCTGAGACCACTAAGGTGTTTAAGCTTGATGATGGGAGCATCACGACAATGACGACGAGATACCCGAGGAGGTGTTTCGCAATGTTTGCTCCTTTTTTTTTGCACTGAATCTTGTTTTAGTGTCAAGGCAACTTTCTTTATATCAAAAATATTAACCATCTAATAAAATAAAATAAAAACCAATCATTCATCTTCTTCATCTTTGGTACAATTGAACAAGAAAATGCAACATGTTAATTTGTTGGTATCATGTTGAAGCATTAGGATGTTTTAGCCATTGCATCATCAGATGAACGAGCCATGTCTCTGTACGAATTATGAAAGGAACCACCATGGAAAGATTTAGAATATTTTTAACTAAACTAGAAAGATATCGTTATCATTCATGGAAAAGATATGCTATAAATGCGTATTACAAAGTAGAGATAGAGTCTACTATATAATCTACAAAGATATCCCCTAAACTAATCTATAGATATATTGAAAATCTAATCCAAATATATTTTCCCATTTCAAGTTCGAGCGTGTAAATATAAATCAATTCTTAGTGCTTGGACAGAAAAACATCCAACATAACTCTATCACTATGTGTAAAAACGTAAGAGAAAAAATGGTTATCATTCATAGATAAGATATGCTATAAATGCATATTACAAAGTAGGAATAGAGTCTACTAATCTACAAGATATGTAGAAGCTAAGATATCCCCTAAACTAATCTATAAAAATATAGGAAATCTTATCCAAAAATATATATCAATACCTTCTTAGTTCTTGGACAGAAAAACATCCAACGTATATCCCAATACCTTCTTAGTTACGTAACTCTATCACTATGTGTACAAACGTAAGAGAGAAAATGGTTGATTGGTCAAAGTTACCGAGGGAACTCCTCGGAATGATCGCCGTCTGTTTGTTCTCCGTCATCGAACTCAAAAGTTTCCGTAGCGTCTGCCGTTCTTGGCGCTCCTCCGCTTTCGACAATCCTTTCCGGAGCCGACCTCTCATCGAGCTCAAACTCCTCGACCCAACTGAAAATGCCTCCCAACAAGGAAACGCGTTCCTCTCAGGTGCCGCCTTCTTCTTCCGCGTCACTCCCTCCTCCTCGCCGAACCAAGGGTGGCTGATCAAATCCGACACCGATCTCAACTCGGGGAAATTTCGTCTTCTCGACCATTTCTCGCGCATCCCTTTGAAACACAGGTGCAAGAGCATCAATCTCTTGCGTTTCAATGTCTCCGAGATTCAAGAAGCCTACGTGGTTCACGACAGGCGCATGGACGAACCAGATCCCGGATTCAAAAGAGTGGTTCTTGCCACCGTCCAAGGAGGAGATCATGCTTTGGGAGTCGGCTGGGACGGGAGGATCAGGTTTTGGAGTGGTCGAATCTGGACCATACTCAAAGACCAGCTTGCTGAGTTCACCGACGTTGTAATCCACGGAGGGCTAACTTACGCCTTGGCTTCGGATGGGTCAGTTTGGTGGATAAGCTCCTCTCTTTCCATCTTCAAGTACGGACCACCATTAGATGAAAGCATCACTGGTAGCGATTGCAGAAACTTAAGCTTCGTGCAACATGGTGGAGACTTTACATTGTTGATCGTATCGTTAAAGAGGGTGATACCTTGGATCCTAATGTTTTTTATGTTTGCGCTGTCGACGATGATGGGAACCAGATAGGCGAAACATCTCCCAAAACGATCGGTTTCAAGGTTTACAAGATGGATGAGGATATGGGGAAATGGGTTGAAGTTAAGTCATTGGGAGACGACGCCTTTGTGATGGCTACCGATACTTGTTTCTCGGTTTCGGCCGGTGAGTTCCATGGATGTTTAAAAAATGCAATCTACTTCGCTGACAAGGAATGTAAGATCAGGGTGTTCAAGCTTGAAGATGCTAGTATCACAAGAGCCACCAGTACCGAGCAGAACTGTTTCAAAATGTTTGCTCCAAGCTTTTTCTGAATCTTGATTAAGTTCAAAGCTGGTTTCTCTTATATAAAAAAATATCATTCATCTTAACAATATCATTCATCTGAATAAAATCCCTACTTTTCATCTTTATAAACAAAACGAAATCAAATCTAAATGTTTGTTTTTAGATTTTTCTAAATCTTGTTTAGCTTAAACATGTTTTCTTTATATATTAATTATACCATTCATCTTAATAGAAAGCTTACCTTTCATCGATCATAAACAAAGCAAAATCAAATCCTAATGTTTGTTCATAGATTTTTCCGAATCTTGTTTAGCTCAAATATGTTTTCTTTTTATATTAATTATACCATTCACTTTAATAGAAAGCTTACCATTTATCTTCATAAACAAAGTGAAATTAAATCCAAAATTTTGTTCCTAGATTTTTCTGAATCTTGTTTAGCTCAAAGATTTTTTTTTGTATATCAAGAGCTTCATTCATCTAAATAAAAAGCTTATGTTTCATCTTTATAGACAACACTTATTCAAATCCAAATGTTTGTTCCTAGATTTTTCTGAATCTTATTTAGCTCAAAGTTGGTTTTTTATATATATTAGGAGTACCAATTCATCTTAATAAAAGATTTACCTTTCATCTTTATAGACAAAACCAAATCAAATCCAAAAGTTTGTTCTTAGATTTTTTTGAATCTTGTTCAGGTGAAAGCTGTTTTCTTGTACTAAGAATATCATTCATTTGAATAAAAAATTTTACCTTTTCATTTTTATAGACAAAGCGAATTCAAATCCAATGTTTTTCCTAGCTTGTTCTGAATCTTGTTTTAGGTTTGAGGTCAAAGCTGTTCTTTTTATCTAATAATAAAAACAAATTCAATCAGTCTTTCCGTTAAGGGTATCTTGTGATATGCAAATAAATTCTTATTTTTAAGAGCATCCCCATGAGTAAGACCATGTTCAATGGGAAAAACTCTTCTAAAAAGCTATTACATATATTATATTACTGTAATTTAATTATAACCTTAATTTTTAAATATAAAAATAATTGGACCAATGGTAATAATGACACACACTTTTAAAGTATATTAGTATTGTTAGAAATAGTCTCTTAATTTCTTGAATAAGAGCTGCATCTAACTTTTTCTCTCTCTTTCTCACAGTTTTAATACTTTTTTATGTTTAGATACTCACTTTAGATCCTGCATTGCACATGGTCTAAGTATCTAACAAAGGTATCTAGTGAATAAAAAAAATAAAAAATGAAAAATAAAGAGAAAGAACGAAGAGAGGCTCTCAAATAAGAAATTTTGAGATATCCATGAAAATCCCAAACACACTTGTGTCTTATCTATTGGTTCAAAAAATAATTAAACAATTAAGATTTAATTACAAAATGTAATTATGTTAAAATAATGATATTTTTTATTAGAGATACTTTATGGGATATAGATGCTCTAAGAACCTCTTTGGAGTTCTAAAAAAAATATTACTTCTTCCGTTCTTAAAATGTTGATATTTTTGACTCATTTACATAAATTAAGAAAATATTATTTTTTGTTATCAATGCATTAATTTTTACAATCATTACTATTTAGTAATTGTTAACCAATGGCAATTTAAGATTTCAAATAGTTCTAGTTACTTTTTTGAAGTCTACAGAAAAATATTTAATAATCTAAAATATTAATTTTAAGCTTACCTTTTTGTTTTTATAGATAAAGTGAATTCAAATCCAAATGTTTGTTCCCAAGAGTATGATGAGCTTATGGATCTTTGGGCCATTCCATGCTCGTCCACAATTCCATGATATGACAATAATAAAACATTTATATTTGAATTCGATTTATCTATAAAAATGAAAAGAGAAGCTTTTTCTGAATTTTATTTTACGTTTTATGTCAAAGTTGCTTTCTTTAACTATTAATAAAAGCAAATTCAATCAATGTCTTTTACCGTTTTCTATATAGTAGCAGAGTAATTGCTAAATTGGCAAGAATTTCAGCTGACAACAAAATGCATTACCAATTACATCAGCTGAATTTAGTTTGCTATTCTTTGTTTACTATCCGAACTATACGAAATTTAAATACTCAAAATTTATGAAAAATAACCAAAACAAATTTTACATTTTTAGGTATTTCCATTATTTGGTTAAATTTTATACAAATATAACTATAGATTTTTTAGGTATTTTAGTTATTTTGATCTAAATATAATTAATATATTCAGTTTATAATTGTAATTTTATTTTGTTTAAAGTAAGTCTTAATAGTTTGGTTCTAGTTTGGTTCAAGTTATTTCAGTTCTTGATTTTGTTTTTTGCATTTTTTATATTGTTTAATGATATATTATAATTTTACCGATTTCTAACTAAGTTTCAAAAGTTTTTATCGAATCTTTTTAGTATTTTTAGAGTCTTTACTGGTCAAAACATGTTTGGATGGGATCTAATGCCTTCGAAATAAAGAATCAAAGAAAAAGGAGCAAAACTGGTTTTTTCGGAGCATAGATCGATCGGTCTCTTGTTGGATCGATTGATCCGATGATTGAAGATTTACCCGAAACATTTTAGATCGATTGATCCAGGAGGGATCAATCGATCTGAGAGACCACGAATCTCCAAAGAAGATTTAGATCGATCGATCCAAAGCCTTAACCAACCAGTTTGGTCATACATAAAGTAAGAAAACTTGCGGATTTTTCCTTTTCCGACTTGGTTTTCGATAATTTCTCATCCAATTCGTACCTAAACCTATATATACTTGTTTTTCAGCCATTGTTTAGGCTACCTCTTCTTTTACATTCATATTTTTGACTTTTTGTTATTATAAATTTGTGGGTCCTAATCTAGTTAATTATACAAAACATATAATAGTAGATTAGAACCTGCATATATGTGAGGTTTTAATAATATTGATAAATGAATAAAGTCAAAGTTCAAGAAATAAGTTTTTTTTGTTATCTCCGATTATCTAAAAGTTATCTAAATATTTCAATCTCTGAAATAGCTTTGCGGATTGATGTTGTTCTAACTCTATGTTGTTACTCTAATCTTTTATTAATACACTAATTTTATTTTATTTTTGTTTTCTGTAAGTGTGTCGAATAAATCGCTATCAATAGCATTTGAAGAAAAACAAATATGTACAGTAACATGTATATAGTATCATATTATATTTGTTTTAACAGATTTAGCATTTGCAGTTATAACACACTTTCTAACTTTCACACCAAATTTGTATATCCAATATATATATAAATTGAATTGAAATATTCAAAAAGAGAGGTATTTCTAAATCGATACAAATAAATACCTTAATAGATTCAATAATCTCTTTTATTTCCTTTTACAATTCTTATATAATAACTCATATATTCCTACTTAATTTGTTTTCTCATGTCTTTCAGTTTTCTTCTTCTTCATCTTCTTCACATTCGTCATCTCCTCAGACTTTTTTCTTCTTTTTCTATTTTTTCACTTTTTAAAATTTTCTTTTACTTCTTCCTTTTCTTCGTTTCATTTATATTTTTCAAAAAAAATTCTACTTTGTATTTTTTCCGTTCTCATTTTTTTCCAAACTTTTTTTTACCAACTTCATTTTCTTCTTTCTCTTCTCTATCTTTTGATTATTTTTTTCACATTCTCTTCCTTTTTATCATTTTCATCTCATTTCTACTTCTTGTTATTTGATGGTTTTTCTTCTTCCCTCTCCTTCTTAGTTTCTTCAATCTCCCAACAATTTACTTTGCCATTTTTTCTCGTCTAATCCTTTTCCTACTTTGATTTTCTTCATTCTCCACTGTATTTATTTTTCTTTTTCTTCCGGTTTTTATTATTCTCCAACTCTTTTATGTTTTTCTACTTCATCTTCTTCATCATCTTTATCATTTGTCTTCTTTATTTTCTTCCATTTTTTATTAATTTTTAAACTTGTCTACGTCTTCTTATTCGTTTTTTTTACCTCTTCTTCTTTCTCTTCTAAATCTTTCAATTTTTTTCTTCTTCCTTCTCTCACGTTTTGCATTCTCCATCGTCTTCATATACTACAACTTCATCTTCTTCTTTTTATACCCATTTATATTTTATTATCTTTATTTTCTCTGATTTCTTATTCTTACAGTTTTTATTTACGTTCTTCTACTTTATGTTACTCATATTTCAGTTTTTTTTCTTCTACTTCATCCTACTGTTTTCTTTTTCTTCTTTTTCCCAATTTCTTACTCATATTCTTCTTCTTTTTCTTCATTGTTATTGTATTATCCATCTTCTTATTTTTCTAATTTTATTCATCTTCTTCTTTTTCTATCCACTTGTATATATATTTTATTATTTTTATTTTCTCCGACTTTTTATTTTTTCAGTTTTTATCTACACTCTTATACTTTGTCTTATTCATATTCAGTTTTTTCTACTTAATCCTACTGTTTTCTTTTTCTAGTTTTTTCCCGACTTTGTATTCATATATTTCTTGTTTTTCTTCATCGTTACCATATTATTCATCTTCTTATTTTTTTTAATTTAATTAGTCTTCTTCATTTTCTTTCGAATATAATAAATTATTTATTAAAGCATCGTCTGTAGTGCTCTACTAACAAGAACCGATTGAAGTTTTCCTAATACTAATTGTATCACTATCAGTTTGTAATAAATTAGAGTTTGACACGAACCTATTAATAGAGAGGTCTTAGAATTAAAATTCTTCTTTACTGCGTGAAGAGAGTCTCCTAGAAAAAAATGGTAAACACATCTCTATTGACAGAAGAGGGTAAATAAGCAAGATTATTTTTAGAAAAATTATCAGTCATTGCTCAATAGAGTTTTTAATTTGTTGTTATTTTCATAGATGTTTCCCAAAACAGAATAAAATTTATACTCAAGCGTTAATTTGTAGAGAGCTGCTTTAACAAGAAGTCAAGAACTGGTTAAAGTTTATCTAAACATTAATGTTACCAAATTAAAATCCATGTAAAATTAGAAATTAGTAATGATATGTTACTACTGGTTTGAAATAAATTAAGGGTTGACATTT